AACAATTTAAATAAGTCACATAATTCACCTAAAAATAATTAAATCAATTTAATTCAAATATCAATTAATAAATGTAAATAAAAAATTAAACCAGCAAAATTAACAATTTAAACAAAATAAAAATGCAATAAACTAAAAATTAAAATGTCGAGAATATCTTTTTAAAAGTAGGGGAATTACATTTATGGCCAACCCTGCACCGAGATTGAAGTCATCAGTTAAAGACTTTGACGATGACTGTGATTTTGGATGGTGACCCAGATAAGCCGGTTGCAATTGAGAATGATAAGGCGGGTGAGTCGAATTATGCTTGTTTTAATTTCGTTATTGTTTTGTTTTGTTTTATATTAATTTTCTTAAATTAATTTAAGAATTGTTCTGATATTTTTACCGGAGAAGCAAGAATCGCCGGAGGGCATTGCAATTTGTAACCACTGTGCAATTTTATTACGAAATCAACGGGAGACCTGGTGGTGGAGATCAAGCCAGGAAAATCCCCCATTCATGTCTAAAACGTGGCTCTCTCTCTCTCATCTCCGGTCATTGATTCTCTCTCTAACTCTAGCCTAACAGTAACAACCCAAAATCATTTGGTTTTTATTTTGGAAATCAAAATTGAGAGTAAAAATATTAATAAAGTTTAATCTTTATGATCGATGCTTGTTTTAATTCCGTTATTGTTTTGTTTTGTTTTATATTAATTTTCTTAAATTAATTTAAGAATTGATCTATTATTTATACCGGAGAAGCAAGAATCGCCGGCGAAATCCCTCATTCGTGTCTAAAACGTGGCTCTCTCTCTCATCACTAGTCATTGATTCTCTCTCCAACTCTGGCCCAATAGCAACCCCCCAAAATCTAAGGCATCTTCTTCACTTGTAGATATCGAACTGAAATCAATTACTGTAATGGAGTTCTTCTGTAATCCTACTGTAATGGAGTCCTTCTGTAATACTACTAATGGTGGAGAAAACAAGTACATAAATTGAAAATAATAATATACATATATATGTGTGTGTGTGTGACGTCAGCTTATGGGTATTTTAGTAATTTCAGATGCCAAGGAGAGGGTATTTTAGTAATTTTGATAGCTCCGCGGGTGTATTTAACGGTCCGTCACACATAAGGGAGGTCCGTGTAGATTATTTTCATTATTAGGAAGGTGGTTTGTGTAATTTTTGAAACAGCAGGAGAAGTTCTTGTAATTATGGCAAATCATATAGGAGGTTTGTGTAAATTACTCAATATTAAATTATATTTTTTAAATCAAATTTGTTTAGACTTCATTTTATATATTTACTTAATAAACTAACATGCATGGATGAAGCCTTCAACAATATTAAACAATTCATCAATAGCTTAATCCACAAATTTATGCAACTGCGATGAGCCTACAATATATTCTATGGCGTGATAGCACAACTACTTACCTGAGTAAGTGATAACAATGGAGAAGGAATTCAAGCGTCGAAGAAGCTTAATGGTTGACATTTAGAACTTCTATAATTTTTCTTATTTTAACCTCGAATAAGACTTATTTTAATTGATAATTGATTTGCTTAGTAGGTAAATTATTTTATTTATAAATGATTTAAAATATCTCGACTTTTTTACTTTTAATTAGGAGTGGCAAGTGTGCGAGTTGTATTAGGTTTGGATTGGGTTAAAATGGACGGGTCAAACATGGATCACGATCCATATTCAACCCGTTCAGAACGAGTTGAAAATGGACGAGTAAGAAATGTATAGGATCAACTCGTTATGACCCGTGAATCAATTAATTATTATTTTTTTAACTATTTTAGTATTATTATTATTTTTTAATTATTTAATTAATTTTTAAATAATTTTTATTTTTAAAATTTTTATTTTTTTAATTTTAATTTTTAATTTTTTTTTGAAAGGATTTAAAATTTTATTTAATAACAAATAAAAAAAACTCAAATTCATCGGTATTTATCGACTCGTTTGAGAGAGAGAGAGAAGTGAAAGAAAAAGAAGAAATTTAAAGAGTGAGAAACTAAAAGAGAGGGATAAATGAATTTGAGAGACAGATAAATGAGTTGAGTGTAATATAAAATAGATGTGTGTTGTGTGTTTATTATGTGACGGGTAAAATATGGGTTGAATATAAGTATTTATATTCAACCCATCTTGACCATCAAATTAAGTGGTTAAAAATTACTCAACCTATTTTTGACCCATTTTAAATATGGTTCACCCAAAATCATTAAAAAGTGGACGAATATGAGCGGGTTGATAAGTTGTGACTCATTTTGCCACTTCTACTTTTAATAATATTCAGTAATATAAATATAGATATATAAGTAAGCTCTGTAGCACTGTAGGCATAACGACGTCAGTGGTGACCTACGATTAAGTTTTTGAAGTCACGTTTTCTTAACTTGAATGGTGCAAGTGTTATGAGATGTGCTTTAAAAAAAACATATATTAGTAAGCTATGTTGATTTTTAATTGTTTCGATTGCCGGTTAGAAAAACTCTTTTATTAATATTTTCAGATTTTCATGTCGGTTTTAGAAATTTAACTATATATATATATATATATATATTTTTTTTTTTTGGAACTGAAATCTATCCAATCATTTTGTCAACAAATGTTTAAAAAAAAGATTTACCAAAAAAAAAAAAAAATTATTAATAAAAGGGAAAAATTTCAAGAAGTCATCTCTGTCGCTTTCCAGCTTACCAGCTTATTTCTGACAAGCGGACTCTTCCACGTTTCAAATCTTGTCCTCCTGTGTATCTTTCTGCTTTCATCTCAACACTTCCTGATTCCTTCTCCCACCCACACACATATTCACACACTCTTCCCAGAAACTAGGGTTTCAGGTCCATCTATGGATTGCTCAAACTCGATTGGGAGCTCCGATTCACCATACGAGCTTTTGCTCAGGGCGCTCTCTCTCATACCCATATCTCACTACCTGTTTGGATTTTTATTCATTTTTCTATCATTCCTCTATAACTTTCTTGAAATGCATATTCTTCAAGATATATTCACGGGCTTTAGAGGACAACCCGTCTCATTGACCTTCAATTCTTGCTCTGAGGTGTATCAAGAAGTCGCTTCCAAGTGCCGAATTCTTCACGGAAGGTCACGCTTGTAAAACCATCGTAATTGGAACTTATATTGCTTGCTTTTGAAAACTGATTTGTAGGATAGTTATGATGATGATTTACTGTGGAATCTTGTTATTGCTTTTGAATTCAGATGATGTGGATATTAAATATTGTTATTCCTATTTATAACACCCATGGAATAATTGACATAATTTGAGCTTTAGTTATTACTTTGAACGTGAAAGTTTGTGGTTTTGTGATATGTTTTCGTTATTTTTTTGTTTTTAAAAATATTTAGAAAAGTGATGCATTGTTTCAAGGTCCTAGTTTACACTTTCCAAATCATTTGGTCTTATGCGTTTTTAAGGTATTGTTGAAGGCTCTAATTTTACTTTTCAAAACTTACGATACAAATTGTGTTGCAAATTTTGGTTTCATGGTACCATGTTCAAGCAACTACAACATGTATAATCTGATTAGAAGTTTTGTTTGTTAATTTCCAATTTGAATCACATGCTTTTCCTATGCTTGTTTTTGTGTCCTTCTTTGCTTGTATAATAATCATGATATAGTTTTGAAATATGGATGTTAAATATTTTTCATAAATTGATAAAACAGTAGGGTATAATTCAATGTCTCTGGAACTTGCATTACAAGATATGTGGTTATGATTTTATGTACAAGAACTAGAGCAATCATGGTCTGATGTGGAGTTGCAGTTCTTAATTTCGTGTCATTGATTTTATTATTTATCATTTCATTTAATGGTTAATTAATATAATTTAGAGTTCTTATTTTATAAATTCGTATTTTGGGGAAATTTTTTTTTTTTTTTTGTGGGTAATTTATTACGGGCTTCGTGGTGTTGGTTTATTTATTAGAATAATTATGATTAAACTTGGAGTTATTAGAGTTTCTGTGAATATCTTGAAGTCACCATAATGTGCTTTTGTGGTGTTGGTTTATTTATTTCGGTAATTTGCTCATATATTGGCTTCAAAATTTGCAGTTTTTTTTTATTTTTTATTTGTGTCATTTCTTCTTTTTATTCCATAAAATTCTTAGATGGCTTAAACTCAACTCAACTCAACTCAACTCGAATAAGCCTTCTCTCAACTATTTGGTGTCGACTACATGATATTGTTTTGCCGTTCCACTCTAAGGCCATATCATCAATGCCATTCCACTCTATCTGAGGTCATAACACTTGCTGTCTTATCTATATGAAATTGCTTATAATTTAATTAGAAGATGAATTTCTTATTTTTGGAATTTGGATGCAGACATTTTATATACATTCTATTAATTAGTTCTCCTTCTGTCTAATGTTGCAGGTATATGGCTACACCATGGCTCACTAGTCCTCATCTTCAGACTGCTTTTCTGTGCTTCTTTGGCAGGCCTCCTGTTTTCAGCTATAGGAGGTTGATGTGATTGATTTCTCTTTGTTCATTGTTTTCTATTTTTGCATTAACATGGATGCAGTGTTTTATGCTAGTGGTTCTTTTCTAATGACTTTTTCTTCTGTTTTGTCTGTGTTTTCTCCCTGGAGCAGTTTATCTAACCCTTTGTGTTTTCTCCTTCTGTCTGTGTTTTCATGTTTTTCTATTTATATGAAAGCTGTATTGCCCTTAGTTTCTTTATAAGAAGTCTGCATTGGTAAGTGAAAATAAGATCTGCTATTCTCGTTGTAAAGATAAGGTGCAACACAATATTTTCCCTTCATTTTATAGGCAATATATGTGGGATATTGATGCAACAAGATATTGTTAGGCTATTACAACAAATTTTAAAAGAATAATACATGGATAAGGCGAGGACAATGACAATGTATAAAAATTAATAATTTATCAGCTTATGTATGGCATCTGTTTTGTGAATGTATGTGTGTAAAATATTAAAAATAATTGCTGGTCAATTTATTTGTTTATATGCATATGTTTGTGAATGTATGTGTATGAAATTTTAAAAATAATTGCTGGGCATTTTAGACACATGTTTTATTAATTGTAAACAAAATATTGATCTCCCTCCTACAAGACTGAAATATTCCCTTTTGGGATTTTTAGTTTTTCTGGGAAAGTGCCATTTAATTTATAATGTGCTGGATGCTTGCCACCCAAAAGCTTAAGTCGTTGGGTGGTGCTGCCTCTCCATCCTCATCAGACATGGCAAGACCTCTGTGACAATAAGCTCATTAGTCTTGCCGATTATTGTCCCTATGTTCCTTGTTACTCGTCTAATCTTTTTGTCTCTCTGTTATTTTTAGCTGTACTATTATCATTGGAATTCATTATAAAGATTTGACATAGTTTTATGATTGTCTGTCTACCTTACACCAACCCATCTTTTACATAGTTTCATCTTTTCCAGATTTGAAATCTTCTGTGCATATGAAAAAAAGGAGCTTCCAGCTCATTGTTGCTTCATATATTTAGCAAGTAGGGTGAGTTTTAAAGGCATGCACCAAATCCAGATGAGCTTTTACACAGTGTAATTAAGATGTGAAGTATTCTTTCCTCTTCTATGCGAGTCCCTGTGACCCTATTTTCCTCTCTCCTCCTCGAGTAAATGAATGCTATTTTATGAAAGCATTAACACTCTGCTCCAACTCGAGGTGGAATTTTGTAATAAAGTGATCATTAACACTTATTTCTTCTAATTGAATAATCTTATTCGTCTTTTGCTATAAAAACTTTCAATACTAAATTGGCATTTAATATCTTGCTATACATAAGAAGTAATATGGGATTGATCTCTACTTTTGGAGGATAAGCAATTATGTAGAATGAAAAAAATTTATTCTGTATTTTATATTTAATAGTATTTAGCTTGTACTAATGTATTATTGTTCGCAGACAGCTATTTCATATGTCTGATGGTGGAACAATAGCTTTGGATTGGCTGATGAATTCTGATGGTAAATTGCTCATTCTTTATTTTGTTTTGGATTAATTATTATATGATTATATAACTTGAAATGGTTACTTTTACTTTATTTGTGTTTTTTTCTTTGTCTTTTTCTTTGGGTATGATGGAGGGTCAAAGCCCTATGAAATTATGGACATTGGATTGCATACTCACTAGTGCTGCAACTTGGGCGGGCTAACCCGAGTCCGACCCAAAGCCAACCTGAATCTTTTTCAGACTTGGATAGTGCTGTTTAGAATTTGGTCAAGGCTTGGGATGGAAAGGAGGGACACAAATTCATTTGAGTCCGGGCTCAGGTTCATATGTTGGGCTACCTGAAGCCCATCCCAAATTACCTAAGTGGACAAACCTGATTGTGTAGAATATCAGTTTTCCAACTCTATTTGTTTAGTTCACCTTCATGGCTCACCTCATGGGATGGAAAGGAGGGACACAAATTCATTTGAGTCCGGGCTCAGGTTCATATGTTGGGCTACCTGAAGCCCATCCCAAATTACCTAAGTGGACAAATCTGATTGTGTAGAATATCAGTTTTCCAACTCTATTTGTTTAGTTCACCTTCATGGCTCACCTCAAGGCTGCACCTCTCTCTCTCTCTCGTTGCTGCTGCATGCTGCACAAATCCTCACCTCCCTCTCTCTCACTTGGCCATTGTGAATTTGTGGCACTGCACAAACCCTAACTCAAGCCTTATCAGAGGGTAGATTAGTTGCCATCATTGCCTAACCTACGGTTAGAACCCTTGGTCTGGCTTGGGTTGGGATGCTTATACCTTGAGTTGAGCTTGGGTAAACCTCTCAACCCGCCCAAGTTACAGCCCTAATTGGCTAATCCCCCATAAATAGCGGTCGCCAAAAGAGATTAAAAAACCATTGAGGGGTCCCCCATAAGCTGTCTACCCTGAGGCTCTTTCGATTGCATGGCCTGCGAGTCACTCAACACAATTATTTTGCTTCTGATAATTGTGAGTGATCTCACAGTCCCACTTTCTTCCATAGGAGCCCCCTTCACAACTGAGCCAGAGTCCCCTGGGATGACACACCAAAGATGAGTTAAAGACAATATCCCTAATAGTTTCTACCCTTTTTTTTTTTTTTTTTTGTTTAAGTGCTCATTTCACCTTTCCTTTATTTAATTGTTAGCATATTAAGTTGTATGACATGATTCTTAATATCAAGAGTATTGGACATCGGTTATTGGTCATATGATGTGACCTGGTAGTAGATAAAATTTGGAGGAGTTAGGAAGAATATGCATCCCGATGCCAATTTTTTTTTTTTGGATACTTATGACATGGCTTGATGGGACATTCAACACTTGTCAAGGTGGAGAAATGTGAAGAAAGAGAGATGCTTTTCATTTGAACTACCTTAGAACTTCATAGATCATTGAGTTGGTTTTGTTGCATTCCAAATGCTTTTGTGGTTTGTATTAAAATCTAATTTGATATGGAAATTGTTATGACAAACGCAACGAACACAAGTAGAACCAAGAATCACGATAGAAAAGTAAACACGCCACACAAAGAACACAAATATTTATACGTGGTTCGGCAATAGCCTACGTCCACGGTTGGGATCCGGGGAAAGTTTTCACTATGTGAAAAATCGAAGATTACAAGTTTTCAACCCCTCACTCTGTTTCTGTACGAATTTCAGAGTCTTTCTCTTATACCACTCCAAACCCTAAGTGCCCTTATATATCGGGTTACAAGAGACTAATTAGGTCCACGACCCAAGAGCATAAAACGGGTCAAACATTTGGTGGGCTTGGGCCCACACAAAGCTCATCCAACGGGTAATCGGGTCATAAGTGGGTCGCGTTAATTCGGGCCACAATATCACAGAAATCATAATATAATAAATTGTATTAGGTATTTACTAGTGTGTCTTTTTGTGCTTCACTGATCACATATACTTGTTAAATAATACACAATTTGTTGCAGTGTCTTTATTAATACTCTCTTTAATTGCATTATAGTTTATACTATTACTTTAAACTTTAAATGGGTTTGATTTTGGAGTAATCTTCTGTTGATATTAGACAAAGTCCAGATTAAAAATTGCACAAAAACTGGAGTATATTTTTAGTATTTCTGTAGTTAGTTTGTAACATAGTTTAACACATGTTTCTAAGGTTGCTCACCTATGCATGTTTATGGTTTACATAATGTGCTGATTCTTGCATTCCTTTAATAGTCGGGGATGTATATATATATTTTTCATATAGAGAGGATTATGATTTCTATTTAGCTTTTATATCCGATATTTGCAGTTCCTGAAGCTGCCTTGCAAGTGAGCAGGGCCATTCTTGAAGATGATAAAACCCCTATCATAATAGTGATTCCTGGCTTAACAAGCGATTCTGCTTCTGCTGTAAGTTTTCTTTACTTCCCTTCTTTTTCCATTCCTTTTCAATATCTTCAATCTCTTTTTTAAAAAATTGTCCAAGCTTGTTTTGACTATGGTGCGCTAGGAGTATATGTTTGATACTTAAGTTATGGGTTTGTAAGGGTCCAAACTCCGAAGGACTGAAAGGGGAAATGCTGAGTCAAACTGGCGAGACTGAAAACTTACAGGAAAAAAAAGGGATGTAGTTCAGATGGATTAGGGGAGAGAATAAGGCTAAATGGCAGTCAGGGGTCTATGTCTTTACGTCGTGCCAGTATTGCTATATATAATTGTCCTGTCACGTGATGCATGTGACATAGAGACGTGGCATCTTGTAGTTCTGCCACGTGTTCCCTTCTTTCCATCTCTTGGGCACGGGATGAGTGTCCCTTCCCCTAGGATAGGGGTCGAGACTATTTGCTCCTCCTTTCACTAGTACCGCTATCATTTATTTTACGTGTGTAATATATGTGACAGTATATCAAGCATTTAGCTTTCAAGATGGCACAAAATGGCTGGAATGTTGTTGTGAGCAATCATCGGGGACTTGGCGGCATATCAATAACGGTAATATTTTCCTGCTCAAAATCCCCCTGCCCCACCTCTTTCTGTTGAGTAATTTTATTTTTTCAGTATATGAGATGCTAGATTTTACCAGATAATTGATCTGTAACTGTAATAACGTCGGCGTCACAATTAACGTGGACTGAAATAGCCTTACTGCTGCTTTTCCTTATTCCTTGTATGCTTCATGATTTTCTTTTTGAATTTGTATTATGCACCCTGGACTTACTTCTGTCATGATAATGACAAATGATGTAAAGAACTTTGAGGTTTGGTTTGTGCATAGGAAAGGAGAATAGGAAGGGGGGTGGGTGGGAAGAGAAAACAAGAACAGAGAAAGAGGAAGGGAGGGAGTTTAAGATGTTCTTACTGTCCAGATCAAATCTTACTCAATTGCAGAAGGAAGTTTAATTGTATCTCCTACCACTACACTTTTTTTAATGGTTTACAAAATTCTCAAGCTGGTTATTGTACATTTCATATTCCAACAGGCCCAACACATCGTGGAGAGGGAAATTTAACTGCCTTTTGGCTTGGATTTCTGAAAGTTATCATCTAGTTTCCGCAAAGGGAATGTAATTTTTTTTAAGGTCTGAACTTTACCTTTATGTGACTCTTGGGGTATTGGTAGGTGATATGCACAGGAGGTTTTGGGATGGTTTTCCAGCTTTAATATAGCATAAAAAGAGAATTCTGACATGGCTTTGTAGTGGGGATAGAGGTCTAAAGGACAGTATGCAGAGGAGAGAATTCTGCCATGCCTTTGTAATGGGGATAGAGGTCTAAAGGACGGTATATTTAGGAGAAGCTTATGATTATTTATTTCGAGAGGACCATAGTTTTAGGAAGCTGTTTTGGGAAACTACCATAGGAGCCAATTTTTATGGAAAAATAATTTAAAACTCATTTCTTTAACAAAGAAGCATGTGAAATTTTCTTTATTAGAAATTGGAAGAATATATTTTTATTTTTTATTTGTAGTTGGAAAAGAATAACTTTTTTCAAGGCCAGACAATTTTGTGCCGTCATTTTAATTTAAGGGCAAGAATGTGTATAAGCAGATGAAACTCCTATGAAGACCATTGTGTGGTTACACACATTAAAAAGGAGAAAGATCTGAAGTAAGGCAAGGTTTTGTAATTTCCTATAATCATCTTTTAGCACTTGCAACAAGGATAAAGTCATGAAGTAAGACCAAAGTTTATAATGGTCCATGGTCATCTCATAGCACTTGTTAAGTTGGAGGTGTTTATCACACAAACCTTTTTTGATTGCTTTTTATACGTTTCATGTGCAGTTTTTTATGTAGTATAATGCTGGTTTAGCTATCACTCAAAGTTTCTCTGCATATGAATAATGCTTCATATAGAGGTCTCTTTCTTGGTCATGTTTTGGGCAGTCTGATTGCTTCTATAATGCTGGCTGGACGGATGATATACGCAAAGTCATTGACAATATTCATTGCCAATACCCAGAAGCTCCTCTATTTGCTGTAGGAACTAGCATCGGCGCCAATGTTCTGGTAAATAAATTCTATTGTTTGTGTTTCCTTTTTTTTTTTTTTTTTAAAAAAAATCATTTTTCTTTTGTTTTTATGTAGATACTTTTTTCATAAAAAAAAAAAAAAAAAAAAAAAAAAAAAAAAAAATCCCATTTTGGTCCAGGCCCAAAAATACATAAAAATTGGATATGAGAGGGCCTTATATTGATGGAAGTCAAACAGGTCAGAGGAAGAGGTCATCAAACTTCACATTGTGCTGCATCTTCTGGTCTTCTTTGATAGGCGCACTTGCACAAAAAGCATTTAGTGAGAGAAAGGGAGGGAACAAAGGACCAAAATTATTTACTGACAACTTCGACTGACCAAATTTAATTCATCTAAAAATCTTCAAGGAATCCAGCTATTTTTAGTGTTTGATGAGGATGGTTTGAGTTCTTTTTAACAGAACTGAGGCTCATTTGAACATGAGAATCTTGAGGTAGCTCTGTTGATGTCCTCTTGGGGCTCTTCTTCGAGAAGGTGATTCCCAGAGAATGAGTGAGACCAGTGGCTAAAGAAGCTACTTTCAGTAGCTTGGTTAATGCAGACCTCCTGTTGAGTTTTGACTGTTGCAGTCACCCTAAAATCTAAGGGAAACATCCCCTGCCCGTGCGTAAGGGTGAGGGTGATTCGCTTGGTAGCTATGAAATTGTCCCCAATCCTTTCCTGGAAACAATGATGCCGCTGTGAATCTTAAGAATTTAGATGAGTCTAGCTCCAGTTCCAAATATGTGCAAAGGAATGCTAGTTTTAGAGTTCCATGGCATCCAATTCCTCCTGTTTGCTCTAATATGTCAAGGCTTGAAGGGTAAACAGCGGTTCACACTGTGAATTGGCCAGCTAATAATATGATTGACATTTATTATCATTTCAGGTAAAATATCTTGGCGAGGACGGGATAGATACTCCTGTTGTTGGGGCTGCTGCCATTTGTTCTACTTGGGACCTTTTGGTTAGTATTTGATATGGGGATGAAATTTATTACTGACATTCAACTATCTCTGCATCAAAGTCCATGTTTAAAATTACTTTTTATACTTAATATTTTGCACTATAGTCCCACTCTAGTGAGTCGCTGTCCATACTATGTTTTAGTTACAGACTCCTGCACTAAAGTTCACTGTCCGTAGTATGTTTTATTCACACATAGTTTTGGCCTGTTTGGACATGGGTCTTGGTTTCCTTTTTCTTGTTGATGATGATTGGTTGTGCACCCTTGCGACTTAACATGTATTTTCTTGGGCTACTGTTATATGGAAAGATCACAAGTGTTATTAATGAATTGATACAAGAACACTGCGGTAGAAAGAATCGGTATGGGAAGTTATGAATTAGCGTTTGGAGAAATATTTTCATTCTATTCATTTAGTCTTCTTCTTTTGCCTCCTTATGCTTCTTTATTTGATAAAAATTAGAATTTGAAATTTATCATCTGATCAAATTATGAAACTAGCTCACAATTTTATGTTTTTTTGAGTTCCAATATTTATTTGTCATTGATTGCATTCATGAATGTTATTAGGACTATATTACCAAAAAAAAGGAAAAAGAATCTTTCTATTTATGACCTTGCCAGATGATAGTTTACTCTCTTTTGCTCTAAATTGCATTTTTTTTTGGCAGATATGTGACAGATTCATTAATCGCAGGCTTGTACAGAAGTTTTATGACAAAGTTCTAACAATTGGCTTAAAAGGTTATGCCCACTTGTATGTTTGATGACCTTATCAAGTTTTTCATCAGTGAATTTTTGATAATAGTGTTAGTTTTAATGTGGTCATTCTATGTGTAAATCCACTTGATCACTTCAATGGTTCTGTTTTTATTTTGCACCATAGAATTTAGTTTTTGGTGACCAAATCTGAATTTCCTTTGTAGGCACCAGTCCATCTTAGCTCGTCTTGCAGATTGGGAAGGCATTAAAAAGGTCATCTATGTTCTCTTTTCCTCTTGCAACCGTGTCATCTTCTTATGAAAGTAAAGTACATTAAATTGTGGTAAAGAAGTTTTGGAGTAATAATTTTATCAGTGAGTTCCATTATGTGCCAGATTTCAATCAATAAAAACAGTGGCAATTTTGTCGGTAACCATTTTCGTATAAAAATGGGAAATGCCCTAAGTAGTTGCCATCCATCAAGCAAACACAGACAAGACTGAAAAAATAACATATATTTCAGAGCACATCATAAGTTCAGTTGAAAGCTTTTTTTTTTTTCCAAGTACTATGAGAGTTGCTGATGCTTTTGATATTTTGGTAAAACCTTGCGGTCTCTGTTTATTAGGATACACCAATCCTGGTCTCTAATGCAAGACAGTGTGAGGATACAAGTTCTGGCTGGTAAAGAGATATGTACGGTATTGATGAATATGCATCCAAATAGTTTGCTAGGTACTCCCTCTAGTACATATTTTCCAATATTTTGAATAAAGGATTGCATAGGTGTCATAAAATATTATTCAAAATGTGCTAATGATTCACCAAAGACTTGCATAAAACGAATTCATTTTTTGAGCATTAAAGCAGCCATTCCTGTCAGTTTCCTGCTTTTCTCATTCCTTTGTATTTAAAAGTTTCTCCCTGATTGTCCCATGTTAGGGTTTAAATAAGATTAGAGGCTCTAAACTTTGTTCATCAATGATATATGACAACTGAACTAACAGCCTTAATATATATATATACTACTGATAAAAGTCTCTATAGGTATTGCACAATAATAATCCTACTTATACCTTTCATATAATTGAGATCTTATTGATTTTTCTTCAGGTACAAATTCAAAATTTAAGTTTGTAACTTTTTAATCCCAATTGTGACCGTCCAAAATAAGAATTTCTTACAAAATATCGTACTATAAAGATGAGTTGACAACTTTCATTACACGAGATATTTGTAAAAACTACATATTAAAAAGGCATGATTATTATAAAGAAATGGCATATTAGATAGGATAACTTAGGGTCTGTAATGATTTTTCTGGTTCCTCATTGGTCTTTCCAATTAACCACCAAACTCAGTTGCTGATGCACAAACACTGTTATGCATGACTGTATTCTATTTGCCTTTCGTTTTCTGCAATTAGAATATCCATTTTTGTTGCAAAAATACAGAGTAATGAAATGGTCTTTAAAAGTCACAAAAGACATCTATAAACTAAAAAAAAAGAAAAGAATGTGGTTATGTAGCCTAGGATAGCTTTGGGTTTTAAGGGTTTTTCTAATTTGTCTTTGGTATTTTCATATGGCTACTTAACTCAATTGTTGGCCTAATAGGGTATGTTTGTAATTTGCTGCTGTTGTAACTTGAAAACATGAAAGGTTTTGATTTCATGTATTTGTGTCCTCTTTGATCTCTTTATATTGCTACTAACCTCATTTGGTTTCTAAATGAGGAAAGTTTACTCTGCGTTAGAATATAATTAGATTTTCAGGATCCAATTATATTCAGAACCCAAGATCTAACGTTTGGTTGATGAAGAAGTTAGAATTACAAAAGTCTCTATTCGAGCCTTGTGCTGTTTTTCAATTCATTTATCCTAAAGCGTACATGCAAAATGCATGCGGGTCATGAATAGTTTTCAAAACTGTTGTTTTACTTTGTGGGGATAATAAATAAGCATGTTTTATGCTTAGTTTTTTTGGAGGGATGGATTGAGGAAAGATGGAAGGGGAGGGATGGATGAGCCTTCTCATGTTTGGTTGGAAGGAAGGGAAGAGAGGGAGGAAGCAAGGAGAAATGCAGCATCCTTGCTTGCTTTAAGTTTTCTTATCCGTCCAAATTTGGGCGGAAGAGGAGGGAAAGAGTAAATAACTACCTAAATATATAACATACCAATTTTGACCTTTTAAAAAAAAACACTTCTTTTTTATAATTTTATATAATTAGGGTATATTGGTAAAAAGATGTAAAACTCTCCTCTTCCTTCGAATCCTTCCAACCCAAAAAAAAAAAAAATAAGTGTCACACCATCTATCATTTCCACTATTCCTTCCATTCAACCAAACAAAAAGTGAGGTAGATACCTTCCCTTCCCTAGGGATGCCTCATGCATCCCTCTTCCTCTTCCTTCCGTCCATTTTTCCATCACTGCAACCAAACAGAGCATTAGTGAACTTGTGGGTTTCTATGGTTCAAGTTTTGTTTGAGTTTTACTTTTTGGGCACAATAATTAACCATGCTTTAGTGACGTGAATTTCTATGGTTCTAATCAGGGATTGTAGTTTCTACAAGAGTGGTAAACAAAAACCTGTTTTTATAGATCAGTACAAGGGTCCCTAGTCAAGTGATGCCACCAGCATCTGTACAATGCAGCAGGAGGCATGTTCATTGCAAAGGCTAAAAAATAAAAGTTGGACAAATAACAATAGTTTCCATGCTTAAACCACTAAACTTGGAAGTTTGGTTCAGTTTTTGTTTTCAGAGTACTGAATATTTGTAAACTTTATTAAAAATTTTTTGGTTGTCAGTTTTCTGTTTCATGATAACTTTGTTATAAAAAATGTATGTTTTTAGACTATTGTGCTTTATAAGTTTTCTGATAAAGGTATTTTTAAGTGAATAGATTCGAGAGAATTATATGCATGGATTTTAAATAAGATGTAAAGAGTTAAATAATCTGTTACAGAAAGCTTCTAAGTTGCACAATGATCGAGTAAAGATTATTTGACTCTGTTGAAATCTCTTTTATCGGAGTTAATTGGTTTAGGGTCTAATTCCATTTTGTGCTGCAGCAAAAATTGGTTAACTCACCAGATTTGCAAATTATGTATTTATTTTTAATGTGTGTTTGTGGTTTATTTTATTTTATTTTATATAATAAATTTCTTTGGGCATGGGAAGGAAGGGCATCTATGCTAGATATAATTGTTAACCATAGGTATTATAGGCCCAAAGGATTCTGAGGCACCAAGGTCTCTTGAAGTGTTAGTGCAAGGCGCTAGCCTGGGTGATTAAGACAGAAATGCATATTAGTTAGAGTCACAACTTAGCACCGAACACAAACTAAACAATGTTAAAATGTGGAAATTCTTCAGTAATAAACATATCAATTTAATGAGTTAGCTAAACAAATGTACATATATCCTTTCAGTTTGAGTTTGTATATCAGAAATCTAAAGCAATTAAAAATATGCAATACAAAACTAGTTATTCTCTTTCTAAAAAAGAGAGAAAAAAAAAAAATTGTTTTGGCATATCAACTAAGAGTGTTATCCTTTCAGTTGCATATTCCTTAGTTGAATCAAATATCACAAATATGAAATTCTAAAATCATATAAATTTCAAACATATGTTAGTATATTATTAGTTTTATGAATCAAGCTGTAGGCATATTTAAAGAGTAGTCTACCATAAGTATATAATAGAAAACTAAATATCTGATAATATATATATATATAAAATCTGTTATAAATGACAATGACACTGTAGAAATGTCAATTTGGTTGATAGATGAAATAAAGATGGTCTTTTTTAAGCCTTTGCCAAAAAGCATGTGCCTGAGTGCTCTCTGCCCGCCTACCTGAAGAAGTCCTATTTGCAGTAAATTTGGTCGCTTTGATTGTGCTTGATGGGCTTGGGGCTTCTTTAGCAACTTTGGTTTTTACTAACTTCATTGTGTTAGAGAAGTTTATTCTTTCACATTAAGTTTGGATGGTCTTCTCTGCTGGGTATCTTGGTTTATGTGGTTTATTTGGTTGCCATTGTCACATAGGCCATTACCTAGTGTAGGTTTGCATTAGTTGATGGTGCCGAGACAAACTTGATATAGACCCAACTTCTGACACTATTTGCACCACAATGTCATTATTTTGACAATATTTGTTGCCAATGCATGTGGCTTTACTTGAAGACCTTGTGAAAAGAATCAGTCAAGTCTCAAGAAGAATAATGGTGGTGAAAATGGGTCAGATAAATATGATTTCAAATCAAGATAGTCATAGTTGGGATTTTTATATTAAACAAATCACAAAAATAAAGAAATAAAATAAATTAAGGACAAGTATGTAACTTTTAAAATTCACAAAGTTGTTGCCAGTTCTTACCTGAAGGTTGGTGTTCTAATCTTGTTAGTATTAATGAATTAATGGTTTCCTTTCCAACTGTTATTGTTGCCAGTACTTACCTGAAGGATGGTGTTCTCAGCTTGTTAGTATTAATTAGTTAATGGTTTTCCTTCCAATCGTGAGGGGCTTTTCATTCTCTTAAGCTTTTGTTTTTGTAGAACTTGCTTGCAGTCAATGAATTGTTGTATTAAGGATGTATATCATACTTGATATGCGCTTATGCATTTATTAATCAAATAATACTTAGTTGATGATTTATGTATTGCTAAATTGGAGGTCCATTATTTAAACTCTTCTATTCCCACTAATGTGATCTTCTGGTTTACCTTCCTTGTGCTCCAACAGTCACGTTCAGTTCGAGACTTTGACACTTATGCCACTTGCCTTGTTGGAAAATTTGAGGTAATAATCCACAACTTATTTTCACTTTTTCAACTGATTTACTGAAGATACTTCTCTGTTTGCCAGACAGTGGATACATACTACAGGCATTGTAGCAGTGCTGCTTTTGTGGGAAATGTAATGGTGCCGCTACTCTGCATCAGTGCCTTAGACGATCCAGTCTGTACAATGGAGGCCATTCCTTGGGATGAATGCAGGTATGGAGTCCTCAAATTTCATTTTACAAAATTTATCTCATCTTGAAATATTCTTTGGTTTTTGAGTCATCAAATTACTGAATTGCATTCACTTTCAACCGATAGGGAAAAAAATAATTACATTTTAGTTGAGGAAAGAGTTAAATCATGTTTAGGAAGAAACGTTAGAAATATTGACTTAATATCTAGATGAAGTACGGATTTTGATTTCTACATATTTTATGTACCATTATTCGACAAATATTACTTTTTTTTTTTAACACTCCCTCGGATGGATGGAACTGAAAATATCTGTTTGCCAGTTTGTCATGAATATATATACACACACTAATATAGAGCCAAAAATTAGCTATTGTTGGACAGAGAATTTTCAAGACCTATTCACCCTTCCACCCCTTTTTCTAGGCCTTATTTGGAACTTTAAGTGTCGTAAATATTTGCAACTGTGAATCATTGATGATAAACTTACACCATCAAGCAGGTTGCATACAGATGTTACTCTAAAAGAATCTTATTCAACAAGAAGATGTAAGAGTAAGGGTATCACAATACCCGCCGGGGTCATGAGGCAGTACCTGGGGAGCTTTTACCAAAGCTTCGTGGACGGTTACGAGGGGCCATAGAACCAGTTGGCCCTTCTCCCATGCCATAATCCAGGAGCGTGGAACGGGCCTTAGGGAACTGGGCAATGGAAGCCTAGCCCATGACTCCGACACATGGCAGGCCCCATCTATGCATGGAGAGCTCACTGTGTGCTAGGACTAGTGGCAGGCCCATGGCAGTATCCTAGACACGACCTCTCTTCATAATTAAGTCACTGTGGAACATAGTGAGTTAGTGAGTCAACCATGAAATTTATAACAGGCATGTGAACCACCATCCATCCTGGTCTTGAACCATGGAATGACTCATGATGGTCCACCCTGGCTCACACCAAGTGACATGAGGCTCCCAGGATCACTTTTGTAGCTCGCCTTGTAGTCGTGAGAGCTGGCATGGCATTTTGGCGGGAATCTAGAGAGGGCTAGTGGATTGGAGGACACTCAGACAAGAATGGGGGATACGCTGCAAGATGCAACTTGAGAGGAGAAGGATTCCATCGAAAGAGTTCACGGACTCATCTTTTTTTCTAAGTATTTGCTCTAATCCTCCCCTCTTCTTCACCACTCTTCTCTTGTTGATTTGTTGTGATATATCTACTTCAGTCCATAAGCAACCTTGCTCACCCACAGAAGAAAACCTGAAAGTCTGATTCAAGTCTCGCATTAGTTTTTAATGCATTGTAAGAAAAAAGACTTGTTGGGCAATGGACTAAAGCAATGTTGCCTGTCTGTGGACTGTGGAGTGCTATCAGTTAAAGATGGTGAAAAGCAGAATGGGTACCCCTCTGGTACAATGTGGAATATTGACACGGAGTATCCCAAAATATTATGAATATTTGAATCTATGGGTAGATTCATAGATAAAGAGTATATTTAGTGATATTTGAAAATATTTATGTTAAATTCATCAAATTTTATTTATTATAGTTTTATTTCATATGAATCTTACACAGTACATACAAAATATCATAACACCTTACAATATTGAATTACTATATTCTCAAGAACGTTTATGATGTTGTCTGAGCAACTGACGCGGTATGATTTTTGTAGGGCGAACAAGAATATCATCTTAGCTACCACATCTCATGGAGGACACCTAGCATATTTCGAGGGGACAACTGCAAAGAGCCTGTGGTAATTTATTTATTTTCAGACTATTTGTGTGGAACTTCTACTGAATTCATTTCAAGATTACTGTGAGTTTACTTCTATGTCCACTTTGGAGCCCCCATGATAGAGATCAATGGCAGACATCTTTAACGATATACAAAAGGCGCAAAAAGGAATGTTATAAGGCTCAAGCCTTAATTCGGCACATGCTAGATGATGGGGGGTCCACTAGGAGAATAATTGGGGGGATTTTGTCAAATTGCATAATTATGGTAGTTTGCATCAATTACGATCAAATTGCATCGGTCAGTATTAATTACTTTTATTATGCTAGTGTCTGATTACTTCAATTATGGGGGTAATTCTAGAGTTAAATATTGATTACCTCAATTACGGGGTGATTACTTTTATTATGCTATAGAGTCAACTTTTTTCCTCAATTATGGGGTTATCTCAAGGTCAAGTTGCTATAAGAAGGGTATGATGTAAACTTGGTGAGCCAATCAATGAATGACTAAAAAATATCCTTTGAGATTTCTTTATGAGTGATTCACAAATTCTGAGGGTGTGAGGCCTTCTCTAGGTGTGATACCTAGGCCCTGTTGGAGTGATTCCAATAGGTTTTTGTTTTCTGTTGGTGTGATGCCAATAGATTTTTTCTTATTTTCAAATCCTTTATCTCTCTTGAACCATAATCTCTCTTGTACCATAATTTCTCTGACCCTGTTGTTGTGATGCCAGTAGGCAGCTCTTATTCTATTTTCCTTGATTTCCTACATTTCTACTATCAAACCTCCAAATTTCAGCCCTAGTTATTTGAACTTTCAACCTCTGAATTCTGCAAGTTCTTAACTATTTAAGGCTGCTCCCTTGTCCTACATCACCCCATCTATGAATTGTGAAGTAACTTTCCAAGGCTCATTGTTGTTATGCTGCCATGTTCAGTAATAAATTAGGGGCATGCATTCAAGTGGTGAGATGTTGCTTTATGAACATTCAATGGAAATGGAATTAGTAGGGAGATTGTAAGTTTGCGGGGCGCGCGCCGGGGGGGGGGTTGCGCATTTACTCTTATTGCCAGATGCCATTAAGAAGAGTTGTGAAGCATGTATAGCACCTGCATACATAGACATGCATGCATATTTTGAGTTTCATGTTGTCACGTCAGAATTTTTGTTGAGCATCCATTAAAGACCATAACCTGTGGTCGGGTGCTCGGAGGAGAAGACTGATCTTTGACATTTTTGCACAAAATTTGGCTTCCTTGCACTTATCAGCTAGATCTTTTACCTTTGCAACTAGCAATGGGCTCTTTCTGGCTGGTACATCCATTTGTGAAGTCGTTTATCAGCCACTAATCTGTGTTTTTGTTGAAGTTATGTGCCCTGCTCTTTTCTGATATCTAATTGTCCATATCAATAAACATGGTTTATTTTCTCTATCCTTTGCAGGTGGGTTAGAGCCGTTGATGAATTCCTCAGTGTTCTACATTCTAGTTCGTTAATCCACCGAAAAAAGGAGGTGCATAAACGTTGACTATCCTCTTGTTCGCTTTTGAAATGTAGCAAAAATAATATGGAATTTACTCAAATTATGTGCATGTGATGAACTAAGCAGGGAGCATTTGATGCATGTGCCTCATTATGAGTATCTCAAGCTTCATAATTTACCAATGACTTTTATGCTTTTTGATGAACCAAAACAAACGTCTCTAATTGTGTGTGTGCTATATAGAAGCCTTTTATCTGTGTTCCTATCTGGCATTTACAGCTCAGATATCGTGAAAAGATGTCACAAATTGAGCCCAATTATTGAAAGTGTATTATGATGATAATATGGTCTTAAACCAGCTGGCTTAAACCTTTCTCTTGGATTTTAAAAAAATTTCATTTATAATAATTAAGTTGGTGCTGTATAGTCATCCGATCTATCTTCTATCATTTATATCTCACAGTGGGACCAATTTATTACTATCATACTCGACTTGCAAGTTATTTGTGCAAGAAATGATAGTTTCTTGCTGAGGTTTGCTTACTCGTTTAAGATTTTCTTTTATAGTTTAATGAAATCATAGTGTGTTATTTTATTCTTTCATATAGTTGAAGCATAAAATATTTAGGAAAAATTCTATCATAAGGATTTCATTTCCACATCTGGCCAATCATCAAAAGTTACATGGTTTGATTTTTTGTATTGCAGATGCAAATTCCCTCCTCTGTTGGCCCTCTAGAATCTTCAATTGATCAGGGTCCATATGTAAATGTCATGAATGATGGGATGGTGACTGCACTGGGCAATGGGCAAACAACAAGTTTAGAAGACACACACAATGAGAATATGGTTCAGCGGGAAAAGGACGACGATATGTTTTCAGCTACACGAGCGAACAATCATATGACAGGGGAAGAGACTGGAGAAGAGATGCATTTGACAAGTGATACTGCTCAGCCCTCTAAACATGATATTGACAGTGCAGTTGCTCCTGTAAGAAGATGCGTGGACCAGCTTTCACGACAGAGTAGCAAATCAATATGGCTGCTTGTGTACATTGCTGTGATAACGACTTGGCCACTCGTTGGTTCAGCTCTTCTGATGTTCTTAAAGAAAAAGTTCAGAAATGTGTTACCTGCAATGATGCAGAGAAGGTAGTATTCATTGCTATGTAGCTTTAAATGCAAAGCATACACATGATGAATCCACTATTTCTTGGTGATGGAAGAAGATCATTCTTGGAAGCGCTCCAAGGACCAGAAAAAAAAAAAAAAAAAAAAAATTATATATACGTGCATCAAATTCTTGAATAAATTGGATTTGGAATAACCCATTTGTACTCTTTGTATACTGTTGGATATTAGTCGTGATTAATAATACAGAATGAATATAGAGTGTTACCAAACAATTAAGACCATATAGTGAATTTAAAGTGTTACCAAACAATTAAGACCATATAGTTTAATGCTAAACCAATTATCAGTTTGCAAACACTGTTCTTGTAAGTATTAGCACATATATGTGTTGTGCGTAAAAATTGCTAGGTTTTTCTATTTGAAAGCGTCCAAGATATTCACATACTCGGTTTTTCTATTTGAAAGCGTCCGGTTTAACCAGGGTTGGTCCAACAGATGGACAGTTGTCCATCACGAGAGCCACCGGCAAAGCATCTACCTGATCTGTGAAATTGAGCATTAAGAAAAAAGTTGGTACCGAGTTGGAAACACACCACATGAATGATAATTTAGCCAAAAAAGTTTTTCCCATTCTGTTTTGTGTAGCCCATGTCTTTTTGCAAAATCCACACCGTATTCTCCAAAACTGAGCTAGAAGGCTCTTGTTAGCCTCTTTGAACCTTATCTCATCCACTTCTCTGTCCATAAGGAACACGAAACGTCAAAAATCAACTCCGAGTACGAAGAGTGAGGTTACGTGAAGAAAAATAGAGAAAAAGAAAAAGGAGAAAAATGACCAAGTGATCCTCAAATAAGTTTAACTCAAAACTCTCATTTTCTTTCAAAGATTCATAATTTTTCTTATGGGACCTATTTTCATCTCAGATTTTAGAGGTTGTCAGGATATTTTCCTCCAAAGGAAATTTATTGAGAGATGACGCAAAACTGATATACTCACTCCTTCTTTATAATCAGATATTCACATTTTAAATTATTTTATCATTTGGCGCGAGATTCTTCTAGACTATTAAGCCTATTATAAAAGGAACGATACGAAACTCAATCTTTCTAGATTGAATTTGGGTTTATGGTTGGCAACCCTTCGCATTTGAGCTGTGCAACTGAATCATAGGTTCACAAAAAAAGCCTGGTAGATATGACACACGCTTTCAGTAATTTAGGACCAGTGATGTGATGCTCCTTCATCTTTAGGACCAGTGACATGGTGCTCCTTCATGTTTGCAATTGCCAATGTTAATTTATGGTTTCCAAATGATTTGGATCTCAATATCTCCGCCTCCATCGTTTTGCTGCGTTTGGCCTTTGTTTTTTGTTTTTAGTTTTTCCCTCCTGCGAGCTTCTTGTCAAAGCATTTTGAACTGCGCTTCTGTTTTAGATCGTGCCTTCAATTTAAGACCGTTAATAATTTCTCATTGTGCAATTTCTCATGTTTGCACAAAATTCGTGGCTGTTAAAAGAAAAAAATATTCTACCTGACATCAATAAAACCACATACAGTAGTAGATAAGAGTATCAACATGCGTCCGAATACTCAAGCAAAGGCATGGTACTAACAGATCTGGGATAACCAAAATACAAGTGTGAGAGTGGGAATGAGGGGTAGATCCAAATAGATAGAAGAAACAATATTAAAATCGTTTTGCGATGTATAGTACAACATTGTCTCACGCATAGGAGGTTGCGCCATGTAGGTGAGACGCGGGCATTGTGAAGTATTCTTGGGAGGTGTAGACAACATGATTCTAGAGTTTTTTAAAATTGTGAAAGTTGTAAAGTATTCTAGAAAGTTATACTAATGTGTAGAATAGAGAGAATATTTTAAAAGAAGAAAATAGTTATATAGGTTTGTAAATATCTAAAAAAAACTGTTATATAGAGAATTAATTTTAACCATCGATAATAATGCATCCAGGTGTTTATTAGGGAGGAGATGCCTACAAATAGGGTAGAGGTTACGTGTAGCCAACAAGTTCTATAGTTAGTATAGAGGTTAGAAGAGAAGTGTGAGACATGGGAAAATATTTTAATCAATATATTCAGTTGTAATGGAAAATATTTTAATTCAATACCGTGGCTGTCACTTATTAGAAGTTGACATGTCATATTGAGACATGGGAAAATATTTTAATCAATATATTCAGTTGTAATGGAAAATATTTTAATTCAATACCGTGGCTGTCACTTATTAGAAGTTGACGTGGCATATTGACAAGTCAATATGACCCTAGCCAAATTCTCCGTGGCAATTTGAAAAGTTAAAAGTCTCGAAAGATCAAACTTCGAGTGCCTCAAGCTCTAGCATCGCTCCAGGTCCATCAAGCCTCGAAAGATCAAACTTTGTGCACCCTAAGTCCTGGCATTGCTCTAGGCTCATCAACCCATCAAGCCTCGAAAGATCAAATTTCGAGCACCCGAAGCCCTGACATCGCTCCAGGCTCATCAAGCCTCAAAGTAACCAAACTTTGAGCACCCTAAGCCCTGACATCGCTCCAGACCCATCAAACTTCGAAAGATCAAATTTCGAGCACCTGAAGCCCTAGCATCGCTCCAGGCCCATCAAGCCTCGAAGTGACCAAATTTTGAGCACCCTAAGCCTTGGTATCGCTCCAGGCCCATCAAGTCTCAAAATATCAAACTTTGAGTACTCTAAGCCCTGGCATCACTCCAGGCCCAACAAGCCTCGAAATATCAAACTTAAAGTACTCTAAGCCTTGGCATCGCTCCAGGCCCAACAAGTCTCGAAAGATCAAACTTCGAGTAATCTAAGCCCTGGCATCGCTCCAGGCCCAACAAGCCTCGATATATCAAACTTAAAGTACTCTAAGCCCTGGCATCGCTCCAGGCCCAACAAGCCTCGAAATATCAAACTTAAAGTACTCCAAGCCCTGGCATCGCTCCAGGCCCAACAAGTCTCGAAAGATCAAACTTCGAGTAATCTAAGTCCTGGCATCACTCCAGGCCCAACAAGCCTTGAGAGATCAAACTTCGAGCACCCTAAGCCCTAGCATCGCTCTAGGCCCAACGATCCTCGAGGAACCGATCCTCGAGTAACCAAAACCCTAGCATTGCTCCAGGCCCATCAAGCTTCGAGGAGCCAATCCTCGAGCACCCTAAGCCCTGGCACCGCGCTAGGCCATCAAGCCTCGAGAGACCAACTCTCGAATACCTCGAGTCCTGGTGTTACGCCAGAAGATATCACTTTGAAGGACTGGAGTCCTAGGGGGCTCGTCATCAGGGGATTGCGTATAGCACGAGACTAAGGTAGGGTCTTAGCGGCTATAGAGAATCTATGTTTGGGAAATTTAGGAGGATCTTAGATTGGTGGATGAGAAGTCAAGAGGTGCCTTCGCTCACAGCAAAGCCCGATTAACAAGATGATGGGATTATACATGTTATGACAACAAACCTTAAAATCACATTTAATACTGTGACAGGCTTGACCAATCGACTACCAAGCAATATTTAATGCCCCTGATTAAGAGAGAAGTGACATGGCAATGTAGGACAAGGCTCGAGGAAAGGATTAGACCCTTCAGACTCCTAAATCTCCAGGATTACTCACGTAATCTAGATTGGGAGTAATGTATGCGAGGAACCATGCACGGAAGGGACCATTGGATAATAACCAATGGAATTCGGATCTATAAATAGTACTGTCCTATGAAGGAAACACCAACCCAGAAGAGGAGGCTGTCATAAGATATTGCATACTTGCCTTATCACCATCTTTATCTTTGATAGTTGGTCTTCTTCTCCTCCTCCTACACTGAGCATCTCTGTTTTTCTTGGTATTTGTATTTCTGATATCACCATTATATTATTGTTCACTACCTGGTTGAAAAAGAACCCCTACAAATACTCAGTTGTAATTGAAATCCATAAATAGGAACAAAAATATGATTTAGTAAGAGGATAAACTTGAAAAGGAACACAAATATGATTTAGTAAGAGGATAAACTTAGAGTGGTATGGTAACATGGATTGTTTTATTTAATTTATGTTTCTCTAAATAGTATCATATTAGTAAGTTGCTCTTATGTGGCACATGCATATGGTTTTTCAAGCATAGAGTCTCTAGAACACGATTCATTATATGAGAATATAACAAATGCATACATAATAAGATGACCTTTTTCTCTTTCTGTTGCAAGCAAAAGGTTATATTGTTTAACATGATCCTTTGAGATCTCTCATGAATCTTCCTACTTCTTTTAGTTCCTTTTTTCCTTCGCGATTGCAGTCATGCATTCCTCGAGTCCCTGGCTGTTCTGGTCCTCCAACAGCACAATAGCGGCACTTAAATTGTTGCTCCTTAGAAATTTACGCATGCATAAACTTCTAACCCGCATTTGAATTATGATTAAACGCAGCTCGCGCTTCATAGCTCAAACTGATTCATCAGTTCCAAGAAGATGTTCTAAATCAATTAAATATCAGCAAAAGAGCTTCTATTCATCATTTAATTGAACTACAATAAAATCGCCCAAATTGGCTACATTAGCAATTAGTTTCAGGAAAATGTCCCCTAATGCAGTTAAATGTCACAAAGGGAGCCTATAGAAGTTCCTTAAGCATCGAATTGGAATGCATCATCCAAAACAATGACCACGTGGTGATGTTTTGCAAACAATCTATCGTGAAGAACTAAGATAGACAGCCGTGAAGGTACAGAATATTTTTCTGGGAAGAGCAGGGAAGCAACTAGAAATTTCAGAACAATCTAAGAAGTTGCACATCTAGGGAGCTCGGGTCATCTTCACTCTTGCCGCCGCCTTCTTCATCTGGCGAGCACGCTCTCTCGCCTCTTTCTTGCGAATAGCCTCTGCACTGAGCTTTGCCTCAGCCTCCATCATTTTCCTGCGCTCAGCCTTTTTTTTCTGCAAGGCTTCTTGTCTAGCATTTTGATATTCTTTGTATGCCTCCTGGGCAGCCTTCAATCTAGCAGCTTCTGTTTTAGATCGAGCCTGTGTTGGATAGCTAAGAGATCAGGATCAAAATTGTCAAGTTCCATTATTAATTGAAAAAATATAGTTAATAGTCTAACCTACCTGTGAACTGAGCTTGTATCGTCCAATTAAATCAATGTAATAGGGTACAAGAGCCACCAATCGAGTCATGTCAGCCATATGATTGACATCGGGGAGGGCAAACTTGAACATCAACATTTTCTTGTGTTTACCCAAGAATTGATCAGAGAAATGCATTGAGATGAAACCCTTGCCAAATTTCTCCAAAGCTTTATCACCAAAGACCTGCAGAAAACCACACCAAACCATGTCACATAAGTCTAAAGAGAGTCATCAAGAAAGAGGAAAGATGTTTCCACAGAACAAGAGTTCCATGGCTGTTAGAAGAAAAAAGATCCTACATGACATCAATAAAACCACATACAGTAGAAATAAATTCACAGCAAACAGTAGATAGAGTAAAACACTGATCAGAAACACTCAAGCACTAGAGTAAGGCATGATACTAACAGGTCCGGGATGACAAAATTACAAGTCTGAGAGTGGGAATCAAGGAGTAGATCCAAATAGATAGAAGCAGTAAAATATAATGGCAGCTTGAAAATTTAAGACAAGTCAACATAAAACTGAGAGATGGAGCAGTAGTTAAACATTAATTCAGAATGCTTACGGCTTACAGCTCCAGGGACAGCAGCGGGCAAGCTGTCTGTGTTTTCGTTCCACCTGATTCCCACTGGTTTAATGTCTGATCCAATTTCACACTAGTTACAATTAGTAACACATTTAAGGACCACGATGTCTCAAGGACCAAGCATTTTACTTTTAACACAACCGCAGGGCACAGCAAATACTAGCAACCATGAATATTTTATGTGGCAAACTAAATTTCGATTCAACCATTTCTCACCATTTATTCTTTCAGTGAATAACACACAATGAACTATTATGTCTACTAGCTCTTAATACAGTGAAAATGCATAATGAGTACCCAAAATAGCTTATCTCAAGTCCTGCTTTCCCCACCCCACCTTAACCCAAACTTACACCCAAACTTACATTTTATTTTTCCTTTTTCAGTTTATTCTTTATTATTATTATTAATTTTCCCCAAATGGGCCTGGATTTTGTTTGGCCATAAAAGGCATCTGTTCTCCAAATTTATACTACCAAAACATTGCAATATCCTAAGAGCCAAATCTAAAGAGCTAACTTCAACATTCAAACCCATGCAAGAAAAGAACAGCACATTTATGCAAATGAGTAATAGAAAAGCCAAATGATAAATAATAAAACTAATGATCAAGCACATATATATATTTACAAGAACATGTCAATACCTGATCAAGCACAGCTTCTGTGATCAAATCCCCTGCCACCTCCTTCGATTCCGAAACAACCCCAAAATCATCAGCCACCCATTTCCTACTGCTCGGTGGTGATACCAAACTAGCAAATCTCTGAAGATCCCTAAGCTCCTTTTGCATAGTTTTCGCCGGCTTCTTCTTTGCTAGAGCGAAAACCACCTGATCCATTGCATCATCATTCATAGAAACCTCGAATGTAATCTCATCCCTACACGGTACGACCATATTGTACAATCTAGCTATCAAATCGTGCCGACTCTTTAGCTCCATTGTTGCCAGCAAACCCTGACAAAATCTCCTTCCACTTGCATAGAATTTGAACACAGTCTGTCCTTCTTTCAACAACAATGGCGAGTCATCGCCTACGCCGACGCCCAACAGACTAAAATTCTTGTCGAAAATGGAGTCTTTGGTGGCGAATTTCGCCGCCCAAGACAATGCAATGTTCTCATTCTCTCTCCTACCCGTAAAGTAATTGATTGCAAACATAATCAGAAACGAACCACACACAATCTCGACAGTAAACGATCGCGAAACATCAACATTCTTAGGGTTCGAAATCGTTTTCGAATCAGAATTGGAATCAACGAAAGTGGCATTATTTTCATCAGATTTTGTGGTTTTTGGGATTGTTTCAACAGGGATGCCTTCGAATTCATCTTCGTCCCAGTAATCGAAGGAGGCCGACGAGGGTTTCGGAGGAAGATCAGACGACTGAGATGAATCTGTCGTTTGTGGGTTTGGTGATGGAGTGCTGGTATCAGGTGGGCCATGGTGGGACTCGGGATCGGACTGAGTGAGAATTGGCGGTGGAGGTGATCGGAGAGGGAGATCGGTGAGTTGGAGCGAGTCGTCATCTAGAGTTTCGTCATCGTCGGCGTCGAAGCCTTCGAAGTGTGAGTCGGCGGCGGCGACGGAGGAGAGAGCGAGGTGGTGGATGAGGAGAGAGAAAATGGAGAGGAGGGCTATAATGTAGCAGAGTGTGTCACCTCTAGGAAGGAACAGAGACGAGAGAGGAGAGAACCAGAGAGAAGAGGAACTGGAAGGCCGCTTCGCCATGAGATTGTGCACTCCTATTTGTTTAGAGCGAGAGAGAGACACTGAACTTTTAGAGAGAGAAGCGAAGGAGAGGTGATTTTTTCACTGGAGGAAGACAGGACAAATTTAGAAACTGGCAAATGGGGCCGTTTTGGTAACTTCGTTAATATCTGTACTAGGACTTCATTAATTGGCTCACCATCGGTCATGACTCATATATCCTACCGAAAATTTGCAACCATAATTATTTATTTATTTTACTATTTTTTTTTGCAAATTCCAATGCTTAGGTGGCAATGACACATTTATTTATTTTTGTGTTACAGCATAACCTATCGTCTATGAAGCACAGACATAGATATGAGACACATACGGCGACACGACAAATTTTAAAAAAATAAGACACGGACACGACAAGAATACGCCTATAAAATTTTATATATATATATAATTATATATTCAAAATATAATTATTAGAATCTTGTACAAATAAATAAAATAACAACAAATAACAGAATCAATTTTAATAATTTCATTATAAGAAAAATATAGACAAGACAAAACAGAAAATAAATGAAAAATAAAGTTGATTCAAATTCCAAACGAAGATGTGCAGAAGAGACATAGCTATAATGAACTAAATATGTATATGAATAAACACATATACTTTCTTTGACAAAATCTTGTTCATGTAACTTATATATATATATATATATATATATATATATATATATATATATCTTGTTCATGTAGAGAGATAATTGAAGAAGATGAGAGACTGAGAGAGGAGTGAGAGAAAATAAATTTTGTCTCACAGAAGCGTCGGACCGTGTGTCCGAGCCTCGGACACACGTGTCCAATAAAAAATAATATTTGGACACTTCATAGAAGTGTCGGACACATGTCCGAGCCTCGGACACAGGTGTCGGTGTCCGAAAAGTGTCCAACACTGATACGGAACCCTGGAATGAGTATCCGTGCTTCATAGCCTATCATCCAAGCTTTCTTGTTCTTATAATTATAAAAAAGATAAAAATTCTCACACCACCTCTCAAGTAAGAGTCCTTACCATTAATTAGCTAAGTTTAAAACTCCCGATTGAAATAGCATTACATAAATAAAAAATAAGCATCAATTTGTCAGTGACCTAACAGTATCAAATTTCTAATTCCGACAATAATTCTTCTCATGTCGCATTATGATTTTTTAAATGCAATGACCAGGCTACACCCTTAAAAATTGAAATGTGATATATGATATGATCAAATTCAGAGTTTTATGAAATTGCCAATATAAAAGTTGTAATGGTTAACCCTTGTACTTAATGGCTAACAATTTGGTCAATAAAACTTTGCGTGTATTGAGCCAAAGTTCCATATTCAAATTAAGGAACAGTTAGAAAAATGGAATAAATTATGGTACTTCAATTACAAAATGAAAATGACTCTTGTTTTCTCATTCTCACTCAATAAAAGGAGAGGTCTAGATTTCACTCTTCAGTGTAGGCCTTTGGAAGGGTGTGATTTACTACTTATCTATCGGGAAAAAAAATAAAAATAAAAATAAATAAAAAAATTAAATTGTTTGACAAACCATTTTGTTAAGACGAAAATATAATAGTGTGGGCATACATTGAATCCTAAAGATACAATTAAAAAAGTGTTGTTTGATAAAACTAATAATTAAATTCTAAAATTTTAAGAGCAGCCATGTTAGGCACTCCAAAAAGATTCATTTGCACTCCACCCCATTAAAGCTATATGCTCTAATTGGTGTGAAAGCAAAATTGTTACCACATTTCAATTAATTCGACAAATTGTTCCTACATTTTAATTAATTCGACAACGTCATGGCATCAAATAAAAGTGCAAGAAATGTTAAACAAGCCGATCTATGGCTTGAGTAGCATTACTTGTACTTGTACTTTATAATTTTTGCAATTATATAAATTTAAAGTTGAAGACCATCACGATCTCTTTAACAAGTACAGTACACAAGTGAGAGTCAATTTCTGAGTATTCACTAGCCTATACCTTTTCTTACCAACTCGTGCACACAACAAAAAGCTCATTTCCAAGTGAAAATGTACCATCTTTCCATTTTTAACTTGAATGCTATACCAAATTTAGCCATTGAATTTTACAAATATATTATTTTTAAAGGCAATATTTAGGGGACATACCATCCATATCATTGCAATCTTAAAAGGGCAACAAAATATACTATATTTGAATTCAACAAGCGTAGATGCTTTTTAAATCCTCTAGTTTGAGTAAAGAATAAGGGGGTTGCTTGGTTCAATTATCTAAAAACAGTAGTTTTCAAAAACGCAAAAAACATAAAACCGTTTTCAGATAATTATAATAGATTGTTCTCTAAAAATAAACTTTTTGTAACCGAGTTTTCAGAAATTTTTTTTTTAGAAAAACTAAAACCAATCGAAGTTTCTTTTGTCTTCTGATATTCAATTCCCTGAAAACAGAATACTGAACCAAGCAACCTAAATATCTGACTATCTAAATTTTTTTTTATAAGATCCCCAGAATACCAATTTCAAGAAATATTCTAAGATACTGAAATTCCATATAAAAGTTACCTATATGTTCATGTCGTAACTGAAGAATTAGAAGGATGATTGACAACGTTCAACTTTGTCATTAAAAAAAGTGCAAAACACTAAAGGGCATTGGTAATTTTTATATGAATTATCAAAATTACATAAGAAAGAGAAGTAGTTAGACGCGGAATCAATCACTAATTACAAGGGCATCTCCCTATCTCAACGAAAATATGTTCTTGATCTTGTGTCTGAGATTGGTCTGCCAGGTGCTAAGACTGGTTGATACTCCTATGGATATTTCAGTCAAGCACCTAGCGTAAGCCCTCAGCAGAAGCAAAAACTATGGAATTGCAAAGAACCACATATTTTCCCGCTAATGGTGGCTAATGGTGGAAGAGTAAAACCTATATTGAAGTTACATATTGAAGTTACAAAACAAGTGGAGCATGCATGTCAATAACCTGAATTATAATTTGATTTGCCAATGGAACGTCCTCAAATCAACTCCTCTGAGTACGGGTCACGTATTGTGGTTTCGGATATAAGATATCAAATGTATGAAGACGACCTGCCAAATCGAGAAACACAAATGTTCAACAACAAAAGATGAGCATTGCAGGCATAATGTGCTTGAAACATATCTTCTTTGATGTTCTCGATTTTTATGGTTTGTTTTGTTTACACAAACAAGAAAGCAACATGGCATGGGAGGGAATGCTCACCATTTACATAAACAGGTCAGTCATCATGTTCATCCTGCGCAATGACAAACGTGCACCTTCATGAATCTGAATAACAACAAGATAATCATAAAACTGAAAAACATCCTCAGTTTTATACATTTCATTATTAGAAGAAAAGAGTTACCTCCATGATTGACCCCACTACATTGCTTTTGGGGTTTGTAGTCTTCTAACAACAAATGAATTATTGACCAGACAACTTCATTATTAACCACACTTGCCATCTAAGAAGAAACGAGTAAAAATGAATTACTCAAATGTCGAAAGGTATATTAAGGCCAATGATAAAAAATTAAAAATAAATAAATACTAACATTATGTATAGGTGTACCTCCATGATTGGCCACTATATCACTTTTGGGATTTGTCTTCTTCTAACAACAAATGGATTATTGACCTGACAACTTCATTATCAACCACGCTTGCCGTCTAAGAAGCATAGAGTAAAATGAATTACTCACAAGTCGGAAGGTATATTAAGGCCAATGATAAAAAAAGAGAGAAAATAAATACATACTAATATTATGTATAGGTGAACTGTGCACAACACGTAACAATTAGTACCGTCAAACAAAATGTAATACGTGGAGAAAAACACGTATACTTGAGGAAACAGATAGGCAAGTTTCCCTTGCAATACATGGGTAGAGAGATATAATTAGGGCATACTGTACCTTAAGGCGATTTAAGCACTTGCCTTAGGCCTCATGTGGAAAAGAGCGTATTAGAGTTATGTAATGTGGGTCCTACTTTAGGTTTCCTTTTATTGGTATAAAACGAGTTCATATCCTTTTGGACTCCTCTCTTTTTCTCTCTTTATTAGAGGTTCCATTTGTTATTTAATATTCACTCAAAACTCTTTCATGTGAGCCCATCTTATTAGATTTAAATTAAATGTGATCAATCTGGTAGAGTTTGAAACATATAAAGATGATTCTTCTACTTCTATCACTTCTTTTAAACATTTTCTTATTCTTCTAGACATTTTTTCCCTCACTTTTCTGATGGACTCTTTCTCACTGGTATTTTTCACGACCCTTACTACTGATCATAGGTCTATGAAAAAATAAAAATAAACATAATTGTGATCATCATCCTTGCTTTTATCGCAAATGAACATGGCTCATTCCCAGTAGAAGAGTGTATTTTCACATGGGCAACCACATGTTATAGACACACACACACACACACATTTCATTCAGTTATATTACAAACCATGTCATCTCATATTTAATTTTTTTAACTCATTTTAATTTACTTCATCCCAAGTTAGTTTTGATTGGTCTATTTGCCTCTAATCTTCTATGTAGACTCCATATCATCATCATCCTGGCCTTAATCCCATATGAATGGGGTAAGCCATGTGAATTCTCTTTTTCCATTCTTTTCTATTACATGCCAGCCCACCTGTTATATTCAACCTTTTAAAAATAATTTTTAATAATCATCTCAAGTTAATTTTGGTTGCCCTCTCCGTCTCTTACCATCTCTTACCTTCTGTGAGAACCAACCTTTCTCTTCAAGGGTCTTCATTGTATGTGTCCATACCATCTACATCTACTCTCTCTAAATTTCTCCCTCTTGGGTGGTGCCACTCGTAATTTTTCTCTCATATTGTCATTTATAACCATATATTTTGCAGTCACTTCAACCATCCATCTTAACATTCTCATTTCCGCTGCACGAAAGCATTGTTCTTATTTCTTTTCTAAAGCCCAACATTTTACTCCACATAGAATAGTTGGTCTTCAACGGTTCTATAAAATTTCCTTTTAACCTATTTGTTATCCTTTTGTCGCATAAAATGCCACTAGTTGGCCTCTATTTTGTCCATCTTGATCCAATTCTAGTAGTTATATCACACACTCTCTCCATCCTTTTGTAGTATTGATCCTATATATCAAAAATGGTTATTTTCAATGATTCATTGGTTTTGAAGTGCAATCATTATTATCAAGATCCAAATCTATACTAAATTTATATTCCATATTATCTGTTCTAGTTCGACTAATTTTTAATCCTTTTCATTCTAAGGCATCTCTCCACATTTCTGATTTTATTGTTGTGGGCAAAAAACATACACCATGGAATGTCAAATTTCTTGCTGGTGCATCTGCAAGTTTACATTATATGTGTCCATACCACCTAAGCCTGCTTTCTCTTATTTTACCACTAATAGTTGTTACTCCTAATCTATCCCTCACACTTTAATTTTTAATCATATTTCTTCTAGTCATTCTCATCATTTGTCTCAAACGCTATACAAAAAGATCCCAATAATTATTAACTCCTCAAAAAACTCGAGATCCAAGACAGTGTATCACAATAGTCCAACAAATGGCATGGACATCACTGACAATGGAAAAAAGAAGAAGAAGGGGGACAATGGCAATCCCACGACTTCATTTTTGGCTCAAACAGTCTTTAAGCCAAAAATTTTGAAACAAAATCCTAAGCTGAGTAAAAACTCAACTTCCATTTGTGACAACTTTTTTAAGGTTCGAATTTTTGCCACATTAATTTGTTTCGAGCCAGCCCTTGCTATAATATACTATCATAGCCACATTGAGGTACACAATCCTAAGCCGAGTAGAAACTCAACTTCCATTGGTGACAACTTTTTAAGGTTTAAATTTTTGCCGCATTAATTTGTTTCGAGCTAGCCCTTGCTATAATATACCATCATTGCCACATTGAGGTCAACTGTATCATTCTTAGATATCATTGCTCAATTTTTCAGCTTACTTTTGGACACTATATGATGAAACTAAATTCAACATAGGAGAAGCTTAGAAGATTACCACTACCCAGACATTAGGAGTGGAATAAGACTTGAGAAACAATACTTCCACAAGTTGACACAAAGATTTTTTTTTTTTTAGCACCAGTTGACACAAAGATGTTAATAAGGAAGAAATTTGCTTTTAGGGCACACCTGATTAAATTTAGTAGCTTCAATGCTGTCCAAATAAGGGACAACAAGAGGAGACTGGAGGGGTTTGGACATATATAAAGAACACCAAGAACTTAACAATTTTAATGAATGTGTTGGTGAGATTTTAAGCACCTGAAATACGGAGAGATTTAGATCTATGTGGTGATCAATCGTTGTTTTATGTGCCTTCGTAATGAGGAATCAATGGATCACCTTCTCATTCATTGCTATGTGGCTAGAGAGTGTTGGGATTTGATGCTTGGCTTATTTGGGCTTTATTGGGTTATGCCTAGATCTACAAGAGGGTTGATTGAGGCTTGGAGAGGTTGCCCTGTGGGGACTCACAGTCAGGATGCGTGGAGGGCTACACCGCTTTGTGTATGGTGGTGCATTTGGCTTGAAAGGAATAGGAGATATTTTGAAGGAAAGGCGATGTCGATTTCAGTGCTTAAATTCTCGATTATTTCCACTCTTTTTTGTTGGGTTTTAGGGAGAGATCATAGATCTTTGGAGGAAATTGTTGATTTTTTGGCCTCTTTGAAGGATTGAGTGGCTTTTTGTATTGTTCTTGGGTTCCGCTCCCCCTTGGAGTGTTTTTTTATAAAATTTTTTATTTATCAAAAAAAAAGTTTTAGATTTCAGATATGGATCTTGCATTCAATAATTACCACAAATTGGACATTATCACATTTTAGATCTCTCTCTCTCTCACTCTCTCTCTATCCCACACACAAGCGCGCGCACATTCTCTCATAGAGACACAAGTAGACATGCATGCACACGCTGACATGCATAGAGCAACAGGAGGAGACGGCAACGGCAGTGCCTGTAATTCTAAATCAAGTTTGCATAACCAATATATTAGTCCTTATTGAGAAAAAAACATAGTATTATTACTCAATTTCCATGGCCAAAAACTTCAGAAAATCAGCCAACACAACATTACAGTGATTGGGTCTGGGTATTTTTTTCTCAAAAGTGATGCTGCCCTATAAGAAAAAACCATTAAAAAAAAAGGTTTTGCCTCCAATTGTCCCGATCTTGATTCGAGCTCCAACTAGAGGCTTCTATTCATATCCGGTGGACCAGATGCACCTAACCCACAAAATTGTTATGCATAGTGTCAATGGTGCTCTACACCACTTGCAATGTCCACCATTATATATGAAAAATAATTTGATAATCTTTCGAAAATTCTTAAATTTTTTATTGGGAATTTTAATAATTTTGTGATGTTGTGGCCCAAATTTGGTGCCGGTAGCCCGATATATAAGGGCATTGAGGGTTTGGAGTGGGTAGAGAGAGGCACTGAAAATCGCACAGATTGAGAGTGAGGGGCTGAAACTTGCAATCTCCGATTTTACACATAACTCTTGCCGGATCTCCACCGTGGACGTAGGCTTTGCTGAACCACGTATAAATCTTTGTATTGTTTGTGTGGTGTGTTTATTTTTCTGTCGTGTTTTGTAATTGTTGTTCGCTGCGTTTGTCACAACAAATTTGATATTGCAAGTACTAAAATGCTGAATTTTCAAGGGAAGAGAAACAAAGGAGGATACACTTTGGGGTTTTGTGATTCTAGTTGGTAGCACTAAAAGTTATGAGCTCTGGCACTTTGATGGCTATATGGAACCTTACCTGAGTAGGGGAAAAATGAACATACCTGAGGCTTTCTAATAAGCTCTTTGAGGACAGATAGAAGAGTTAAACGGAGTTGCTTGAAGAGGACGGCAATTTGGGCTGGTGCTGTTAATTTTAACCAACCATCTATAGTGATTATTCCAGTCTGCAATATGGAAACAACAAATTAATACACCATTACTTGAATGGAAAAACAGCAAAAACAATTGGAACATAAGATTCCTGTGTTTAAATGTGTATATAAATATATATATTTAAATATATATACAATGTACACAACATATTATACAATAGAGTTGTGTAGAAAGTTTTCACCATAGCCTCTAATATGCATATGTTAGATTTACCATTCATTCCATATTTGGCGTCTTATCATTTTGACTATAAATATGATGTGCATTAAAGGCTCTCGCCAATAACTCCTAAAATAAATTATACCAAAAGATTTCTCATTATTTAGGCATCTTAAGGGCATACTAACAAAATTGGTTAATTGGATTCATATATTCGCATCTGTTGGGAACATTTGTTTTTGTTTATCCAGTTAAAAAGTAGGGTCATTTGGTAGGATTTATATTTCTTGTTTATTGCTTTCAAAAGGCCGAAAAACACAAATAGGCCAGTTGAACATGCTTGGTAAATTTGTTTCTATTTTAAAATTATGTTAAAAAAGTTGTATCCACTTTTTTATGGAAAAAAGACGGGAAACATGCTCTCACTGCAACGCCTCTTTAGTATCTCCGCCCCAACACTTCGTTCATATCTCTCTCCTCACGACAGGAGCTCCCTTCTCTCTTCATTCACGATCTCCATTCTCTCTCTTCAATTTGTGCGAGCCTAACCCTAACCAGCCCAATGGTGAAGCTTCTCGCTGGTGATTCTCTTTTCTCTAGCCAACAAAGGATGAGCCAAGGGTAGCTAATAGCTGTGAAGTTAGTCCTTAAAATCTTGTAATTTGATGGTTTTAAAACCCTAGAAATTTCAGTAAGGAACCCTAGCAAATGGGCTTCAGTGGTATAGTAACACCATGGTAAGAAGCAAGTCATCAGTTATACTGCGGTTCGCTCTTAGCCGGTCCTGATAGCCCAGAACAATTATTAGCTTCCAACCATGAACCAAATTGAAAACCACCCAAGCTTCTATGTTTTAAATTCAAAAAAAGTTATTGATGTTTCTAGCTGGTTAAAGCCTGAGAAAATTATCTTTATACATATATACAATTGCTTAAATTTTCGAGGAAAAAAAAAAAAAAAAAGCCTGAGAAAATTTGTAGTGGTTGTCAGATGGGAAAGAGTCGTTGCCTCCTCGAAGCCCGTCAACCCCAAAAGTCGAAGGAAGCCCGGGACCATTACTTCGGAATGAAGCAAAGAGAAGTTTGTGGGGGAGGAGAGATTCTCTCCCAAAATTGAGCTTGTGTGTGTGTGTGTGTGTAAAGCACATGACATGATGACAAATTGGCCAGATTTGCATACATACATAAGATGTGCCAGATTTGCATACACACATGATAACATTTAACATTCAGGTTGGATTATTATTTGCTTGATCTTTTTCTCTCAATCCATGTAATTCCCTTCTTCACTAGTGGAAGAACATTTTTCTGAAGCATTTCGAAGTTGTGTGAATTGAATTACCCTTATCATATACTTTAGGAAGTTGCCACAGTACTTCGAAGTTTTCTTAATTTGATTTTTGCCACATTACTTCAACTAAATTTATTTTTTAACTCAGGGATTGATCTTTGGAAACTTTTATTGAAATTCAAAGTTGAGTCCAAACTCAAGTCCGTGGTCTAAATATTATTGGAGCTAGGACTCCAAAAACTGAAATTTATTGACAGAACTCTATATCTTGGACTCAGGTAGATAGAGCTCTTGATCTTTAAGCTCAGTTGCTTGTATTATGCTTTTGGAAATTCAATGACTGGTCATGTTAATTTGAGTGGAATTATTGATGCTAGAATAGAGTGTAATGATAATGAAATCAAGTGTAGAATACTTGCTTCAGGAGTTCGGGAGATAAAATTATGAACCAACTATTGAAGAAGTTGGTAGCAGTCAAATCCTTTTGGAGACAGATGTCACACCGAGTCAATTGCGCCAAATAAACAATTTTAACAACCATCTACTCCAAAAGCTTAAGCTGTTAGAGAGGGTATAACTTTAATATTTAAATCCTTCAACACGTACCCTCACGTGTGGCCTTCTTTTGGTCCAGCATGTATTTTCAATTTTAATTTTCAAGGTGGCGGTGAGGTTTGAACTCGAGACCTTTGGCTCTGATACCATGTTCCATCTACTCCAAAAGCTTAAGCTGTTAGAGAAGGTGTAACTTTAATATTTAAATCCTTCAACAAATGAGTTTCATGATAATATAGCCAAGCAGTTGTGGAGAAGTGTGCAAAGCCGTTGAATAATTTTTAAATGGCTTATGGCATGTTGATGGTAGATGTGCAATGGATACTATAAAATAAAAAATAAAAAAAAAATAAAAAATAAAAAAGGAAAATAAATGGAAGATGTGTAGATGACTGTAATATGAAACGAATTTGTTTTGTTGCATCATGACATGTATTTGGACCAACCTTTGGATTGTGGATGTAGCTTTTTGACAGGTTATTATTGTTTGAGAGGACTATATAAATTCATACGCTGATTCATGTGAGTATTTATTTATTTTTGTTAAGCGCTTGAAAAAAGCCAAAACAGTAGACTGGACACTATGGACATGATAATGTATACTTGCTGCTTAATGGTCAGTAAATGTTTGCTTGAAGTCTCTGAAATGGACAGTGGACATGTATTGATTGGTTTGCTATAGCTTCAGGTAAATACTTTTATAAGATACATGTTGTATTTGCTTTGGGTCGTCATTATTTTATGCAGGAAATATACATTACCAAACATGTTTTTGTTTACTTACCAAACACTGATTCTATTTTCATAAAATTACAAAATAAACACAAACGCCTATAAATAGAAATAGCAAATATGAAACAAATAAACGTAAATGTTACCAAAAGACCCCTTTGATTTCACATCCATATTGCTTACTGCTACAATTATTTGGGTACATATATACATAAGATCATCATTACTATCCTTGCCTTTATCACGTACAAATGTGGTCGGCCACATGGATTCTCTTTTTCCACTCTTTCCTATCACAAACCATATCTCCTACTTGTTTTAATTTTTTAAAATAATTTCTTATCACTTCATTCCATGTTAGTTTTTCTACCTCTTTGTCTCTTGCCTTCTATGTACATCAATCTTCCTCTCCTCACGTGTGCATCTATAGGTTGGCATTTAATATTGCTCATACTACCTAAGTCTACTCTCTATTATTTTCTCACTAATAAGTGCCACATCTATTTTCTCCCTAATTCTTTGATTATTAATCTTATCTTTCCTAGTTTTTCCTAACATCCATCTTAACATCCACATTTCCACCACATGTATGCATTGTTCATGTTTCCTTTTTAAAGCCTGACATTCCACCCCATATAAAATAGCCTGTCTAATGACCGTTCTATATACTTTCCCCTTAAACTTATTTGGATTTGTTTATCGCATAAAACCCCCACTAGTGTTCCTCCACTTTGTCCAACCTATACCAATTCTACTACTTACATCATCATCAATCTCTCCATCTTTTTGTACAATTGATCCTAAGAATCGGATATAGTTATTTTGAGTAATGCTTTGATCTTCAAGTTTGATTGCTACATTATCAATTTCTAGCACTGCTAAATTTACATTCCATGTATTCCGTTTTAGTTCTAGTAATTTTTAAGCCTTTTGATTCTAGTGCCGTTCTCAAAGCCTCTTAACTTTATTGCTGTTAGAATGTTATATATATATATATATATAAGTGTTGGGTCATTATGTAATTACAGAAAGTTGATAGGGCCCTTGTGTTATTAAGTAAGACTTGTAATCTTTATATAAGCCTGCATAGGCTAATTAGGTTAGGAATGTTACAAATACAAGATACGATCTCTCCCTCTCTCTCTCTCTCTCTCTCTCTCATATGATTTTGAACATGGTATCAGAGCACTGCGATCATGGGTGTGAGAGTCTGTAATTGGGTTGTTCTTGTATAAGATCGGAGCAATTGTGGTGTTGGTGGTCTTTGCTGGCAGTTCCTCATTTGTTGTCCTCAGCAGCTTCACCGTCGTCAGATTTGAAGCTTGTTCGTCATCGCCGGCAGCTCCTCTTTGTTCTTCAGCGAGCTCACCGATATTGGTAGTCTCGATTCGCAGAAGTGAGGTTCATCTTTTTGATTCGCCGACATCTACAATCTCGATTTGCGATCGCTGCTTATTGATTCGGCTGTTGATTGTGAGTGGGTTGCCATTGTCTCCGTTGCGTTGTTCACCGGCGTCTGTGAAGGTGTGAAGAAGAAGACCTATGTTTGGTTACACAGATATAGCTATTCCAACCCTGGTTACTAAACCTGGGATAGCTTAGGTCCGCCCGACCCGTTTGACCAGATCCAGTCTGTTTGACCAGATCCGGCCCATTTTCCAGGTTCGGCCAGAATACAAATTCTTCTATTTTTTTTCTTTCTTCTCTGTTTTGCTGGATTCAACATGGCATCCAATTCAGATTTGCTTTCTCCCACGAACAGTCTTCATTCTCCCATGACTTCAGTTAAACTCAATGGGAAGAATTATATACTGTGGGCTAAATCTGTTGCCATTTTTCTCAAAGGCAGAGGTCTTGGTACTCATCTGACTGAAGAGAAACTCAAGGCAACTGATGTTTCTTTTGATGCATGGGAAAAGGAAGATGCGCAGATCATCTCTATGATGATAAACAACATTGAACCCCAAATCAGTTCAACGTTACTTTATTTGGATACTGCCAAGGAGATATGGGACAGATTGCAGCAATTGTATTCTAGGACAGGTAATATCACTCGTGTCTATGAACTTTGTAAGCAGTACTTCAATCTTGAACAAGGTACTCAAAGTATAGAAGAGTATTATTCCAAAGTTATAGGAGTCTGTGAAGAGCTAAATATGTATCAGCCCATTACTGCTGATGTTCACAGTATACAACAATCGTGCGGATTTTAATGTTGTCCGTTTTCTTACTGGTTTATCATCAGCATATGAGCCTTTTTGTGCACAGATTATGG